AAAAGTGTGTTTTTCACACGTATGACCATTGCAGCAGCATCATGGTCATGTGATTAAATTTTGGATGCTTGGCAAGTGGCATGAATTTATAATAGTTGCTAGTTCCGGGGTCATAAAATCACCTTTTGCGACCTTCCAACAAGCAAAGTCAATGGGGAAGTCAGATTCACTTAATTGTATTACTAACTGAACAGTGCTGTGATTCACTTAACAACTATGGCAAGAAAGGTCCTAAAATATGGCAGAATTCACTTAACAACTGTCTCACTTAGTGACATAAATTTTGGGCTCATTTCTGGTTGCAGGTCAAACACTACCTGTAGTAGCTTAAGGGTATATGAGCTCTGGTTATGCCTTTGTTCGGGGCTGTTCAGCAAAGGGTCAATGCTTTGTTGGGAGCCCAATATATACTGTTTAGTAGTTTATTGCAGGCTAATGAAATTATGTTGTATCTTCAAAGTGATTTGGTTGCATTAGATGAGCCAGGATTGACCACAACAATAGAATTTAGGACCGCAACCTAAGGCATTGGGGAAATATGTACCTGAATTATTTCTAGGGGACATCAACTCTTGTATGGCCTGCTTAGGAACTAATCTAGTCAGGAATGGCACATTTTGAGATGGACAGAGAATCCAATTTGACCATCCCACTTTCCTTTCCTCTGTCTCCCCAACTTGATGCCATGGGTAATGTATTGTAGGGCACATAAGTTTTCTTTACAGGTTGAAAATGCAATTGTGAGTAACATAAGCATGTGAACAGAGAAGATTTCCTCCTTTTTGCAGTGTTACAACTTGGGATGTTTTTATTTGTATATATGAAATTATTCCTGATATTTATTGAGAAGCCATCTCCTTAAATGCCATTATGGTATTCTTTACAGCTTTCTCATCCACCTGGTAACTTTTGTAAGGTATTGTTTCGTGCTATGTGCCACCCAGAGCTCTGATGGAGTCATGGCTAATAAATAAGTAATCAACTATTGATGCATTGTTATATTAGTGCTCAGACTGGAAAGTCTGCCCTGAATGCATATGTTAACTTGAATACTGATTAGTCAGTCTTTTTACGTGGATAACTTCTTCCTCAATCGAAAGCAACTGTAGATCTCTAAACATAAAAATATTGGTTTTGTAAGGTTTTTTTAATTAAATAAATGAAAACTAACTATCCCCTTCTACCCCCATTACAAAAATAAATGAAAAGGAGGAGGAGGAGAAGGAGGAGGAGGAAGAGAAGGAGGAGATGAAATCCCTACCTTGGGGATACAAAATTGTTACTATTTGTACATATATAACTGAGAAGAATAAAACAAGGAATAACTAACACTTGATATGTTTATCTAAAATAACATTTGAGCCAGTGTGTGTGTTTGTGGAATTGGGTGTGTAAAACTGGGAAAGGGGGTCTTTCTTTAAAACTAAAACGAAAATAACTCAGAACTAATGAAAGGAACTCAACACATCAAAACTGAACTGGGCTATCAAAGGTGGCTCTAAGGAGTGGGGTTTCATGTTGTGAGTTTTAACGTCATATGCTGCCAGGGGTCACCTATGTCTAGACTGAGTGATCATATAAATTTGTTTAATAAATACATTTTACTGCAAAACACCAGTAAGCTAGGTTGACCTGGACTTGGGGAAAACTGTAACTGACCCTCTGTAGGTAACTCAGCTTTCCTCATTTGTAATAATTTATCTGCTCTTGTTAATTTGGAAGCTATAATGATGTGTTTAGAGAATTATCCTCACAAAGGGAAGCAAACGCTCCATCAATTCTCCACTACAGTGCCTTCAAAGAATGAAAAACATGACAATAGCTAAGGATAACATCATGGTCTCATTTGATATCACAGCCCTTTTCACATCCATAGACTCAGAATTAGCCAAAGAACCCATGACAGAATGGCTCCATGGCACATCCAACTTAACCAAATACACAAAGATTGAAATACCCAGAATCATGGATCTTACCACATTCTGCCTTATCACATTCTTTCAATTTGATGGACAAACCTATCAACAAATCAAAGGTACAGCTATGGGATCACCACTTTCAAGACCCATAATGGAGATCATAATACAATGTCTGGAATCGATAGCACTCATACAAATACAACCCAGGTATGGATCAGATATGTAAATGACACCTTCACCATAACAAAAAAAAAAGGGACCAATTAGAGAACACACACAAAACCATCAACAACTCTTCAGATAAATCCAATTCACCAGGAAAGAAGAAAACAACTCACTACCCTTCCTGGATATCCTGATCAACAGAGACTATAAAGGCAAACTAGAAATACAAGTGTACCAAAAAAACCACCCACATCAATCATGTGCTCCACTTCCAAAGTAACAATGCAACTTCCCACAAGAGAAGCTGTTAAGAACTCTATTTAGATGAGCACAAACACATTGCCGCAACTCTGAACAGTAGAAAAAGGCAATAGATAATCTATACCATGTCTTCAACAAAATGGATGTCCATGCAACTTCATCATCAACCCAATATAGCAAAACCCCACAAAGGATAATACTGCCCAAAACATCTCAGAAACCACCAACAGACAACTACAACTACACGGAATCAGCAGCAGCACACAAACTACAGCCTTTCTAAACATATAGGGTAAACCAAAAGACCCAGCATCCATAGAAGAAAAAAACAGGAGTCATCTTCATATACAGTTCAAAGACCGCAACAGCCACTAAGTAGGACAAACAAGCAGAAGACTAGCAGAACACATCCATGAAATAGCAGTCAGAAGATACAATGACAACTTTTTAATTTCATAGCATATGGACAGACTTAACCACAGTTTCAAGTAATAAACGGTAACCATCCTAGACCAAACGAAATCCCCAAATACTAGAGAATTCCTAGCAGCCTGGCACTCTGACAAATTGCCCATCGATAGTCACATAGATAAATAATGTTCACATACTGTGCAAAACAGACAACAAGCAAAAAAAGGGGGAGGACAAAAAGACCAAAACACCTCCTCACCAGCACTCAAATGAGTATAGATTAACTCCAAGATTTAACATCAGACCAACAATCAAGTAAATAATACTTCAATCAAGGAACTGCCAAAGAAGCCAACAGTAAACAGCCCAATTAAAGATCAAAGAATCTCCTCCATTCCTCCAAAACCACCTTCACTAATAGTGACAGGGCAAGACTAGAATATAAACTGGGAGTAAACCTGACACCTTATTAGTACTGATGATGTTACCTAGTTTGGGTAATGAAAAGTCTGTAAGAAAACAATCCAGCTGAGAGAACACCAAGGACTCCTAGAGAATTATCTTGTATAAATTGGAGTATGGATCTTTCGAGGAAAAGCTCAAGAAATTGACTCTTTCCAACTTTTAGTCCCAGCTGGGATTCTCTCCAGCTTTTCCATACTAGAAAGCCTCTCAGACAGGACTAGGACACTCCTGACCTTATCCTAACCTGAAAATTGCTTCTTAAAATTAAGCACTCTCCTATGCTAGTCTAGCATTCTCCAATTACTGTTCTCCAAATGGTTTGGGAATTAAGTTCCAAGCCTAGTTGGGATGTTTAAAAAGCCTTTGGGTAAGAATGCAACTCTCATCTTTTATGTCAAAAACGCATCTTTGTCTGGTAACCTCATTTCATTCAGTAGCCAACTTGTATTCTGGTGAGATGTGCTGAGTGTCAAAGGAAGAACCTTTGCTTGGAGGTATTTCTGCTGTTCCTGGATATATTTCATGCAGTTCCTGACATCAGTTAGCTCTGTCCTCTTTTACGAGTTTGTCTATTTACTATTAATAAGGCTACCAACTTAGTAAGCATTTATTTGTTAGATTCCTGCCTGTCCTCCAGAAGTACTACTAAGTACTACTATTTATTTACTTAACAATCAAATTTATACAGCATCCATCTCACTAAGTGACTCTGGGCAGTATGCAAACCAAGAGTATACGGTTCCCACAATAGCCCAGTGAAATGAGATGGTTTGAGTTCAAGTGATTGGCCCATTCCTCTGGGGAGCTTCCATGCCTGAGGAGAGACTTGATCTCCCCATTCCATCCAATAATTTCACTATTACACCCCTCTTGGCCCTTGGGGTGAGAGAGAAGGCACAGCCCAGAGCCCCTCAGGTAGCTCCTGCAGTTGAGGTTAAACCTGAGTCTCCCCAATCCTCGTTCAACACTTTCAATCACTCTACTATGCATGATCATCACCTTATTATGATGTGCTGTGGTGGCGCAGTGGTTAGAATGCAGGACTGCAGGCTACTTCTGCTGACTATCAGCTGCCTACAGTTCAGCAGTTCGAGTCTCACTATCCAAGGTTGACTCAGCCTTCCATCCTTCTGAGATCGGTAAAATGAGGACCCCAGATTGTTGGGAGCAATAGGCTGACTCTGTCAACTGCTTAGAGAGGGTTGTAAAACACTGTGAAGCGCTATAGCACTAGCCATAGCACTGAGACTTATATACCGCTTCACAGTGCCTTACAGCCCTCTCCAAATGGTTTACAGAGCCAGCCTATTGCCCACAACAATCTGGGCCCTCGTTTTGCCCACCTCGGAAGGAGGGAAGGCTGAGTCAACCTTGAGCCTGGTGGAATTTGAACTGCCAAATTGCAGACAGCCGGCAGGCAGCAGAAGTAGCCTGCAGTACTGCACGCTAACCACTGCGCCACCACGGCTCACCATGGCTCACTATATAAGTCTAAGCGCTATTGCTACTCTAACTTGTGCTGCTGGTTTTCACCTTTCAATATGTTTGAGCAGCAGATGTTCTACATCATCTCTCCCCTCCCCCCCCATCTTTGGCAAAGACAATGCAACTGTCTTGGTGGAAGGGAAGCTCTGGTTCAATATAGCTAGCTAAGGGAAAGCTGTTGTCGGCCAAACTTTTTTGCCTGTGAGCTCTATATTTGGCTTTGCCTTCACTTCAACAGGTGTGCAAAAATAATCCTCATTGTCCTACCTGTCTAATGCTAACTTCTTTCCCTAGGAAAGCTTCCGAGAATTCTGCAGCTGGTGAGTCATTCCTCCTTCTTCTTCTTTTGTGGGGAAAAAAAACCCCTTATAAAAGCATCAATCAGGCTTAAACCCATCCCCACCCCTGAATTTATGAAAGTGGTCCGTGATGTATGAAGGGAAAACTTGGTTCTCATCAGATGGTTTAATTTATTTCGTTAATTTTTTCATATTTGTACGCCACCCATCTCACAAAAGCATGACTCAAGGTGATGTACAATAGGCAATTAAAAAGAAAACCAATAAATATATCAAAATAACCATTATTAAAAACTGTAAAAAACACAAGATCAAGAAATAATATTAGCCACAATCAGGAAACCATTGTCAGGAAACCATTGTAAGAGCTTCCTGGTCTCTGGGAACCCACCCCGCCCCCAAGTCTGATGATATAGCCAGGTCTTCAGGAACTTGCAGATTCATACAATATAGTAGCCTAAATTGTGGCTGCTGTAATCATATGTACACACTCAGCCCATAGGATTGCCTACGGTTTAGGATCTTGTGGCAGTCACCACTACAGTGGAATTGTGGGAGAGAGCTAAAGTGAAGCATCCTATCTAGTTAAAAGTTTGTTGTGGAATCCTTATCATCTTATTTAGGAATATGTCCTTCTAAACTCAGTGAAACTTATTTCAGAGTAGATGTGCTTCTTAAATAAAGAAATGGTCAAGAATCTAGCAGAGATAAGCAAAATTGTCTGTGGTCTTGAAATACTGATGCTGTGTAAATCATTACTAATGATTTACACAGTATCATCTTACGTGTTGTACCAATGTAAAAAATAATAGGTTTTATTTTTTAATCTTGCTGTAAGGATGGCTGGATGACCCTGTGGCATTTACAAATTAATGGTGACGAAATGGCCATAAGGATTTTCCACCAATGTTATTTTCTAGGCTCAAAGTGTTAAAACTGGTTCTTGCTTCCTTCGGTTTCTGTGAATTTAAATCTAAAATTATATTATACCACACTTATTTATATTTCTCAAATGGTGAGCATTTTAAGCCGGTATTTCATGAATCTTTAAGATATTTTCTTTTAAAAATCCACATTGAAGCTCCTACTTCATAAAAAGAGTTACTAGTAGAAAATGAGGGAACAAGATTTACACAGCCTCCCAGAGATTTTGTGTGTTTTCTGAGGATACTTTTCAGTGGAGAACGCCAAACCCAATGCAGCCACTCATCCAGAGATACAGTGGGCACGCTTCCATTTTGAATGTAAGTAATTTTGCTGTCTCTGAATTATTCCATGATTTCTCATATAGTTATGGTGACATGGCAAAACCGTCCTGCCCGAAGGCTGATGGCTGGAAAGAAGCAAGGCCAGAATAGTGAATGCAATACAGAAAGAACAAACAAAGCTGCTTTCAAACAGGTCAGACTTTTTTTTAGCTGAGAACTGCAGGGCTGGGGATTGATTCACGCATTCCACGAGGGCCTGCAAAGTTTGTTTCTTTATCAAAAAAAATTTTTTGCTGCCCATCTTGCGGTTCAGGCGACTCTGAAAATATCATTTTCCCATCACAATTTCCGCTACCAGTTATCCAGAACCTGTCAGAACTGGCTGAATACTACCTCTGGTGGAGATGTCTTCTGACCTTCCCTAGGTTTTAGGGAAAATAAAAGGGAGGGAAGAGCTACTTTTGAGATTTGTAAAACTGATGTCAGCCCTTTGGGGTAGTTCAGACCGGAATATGGCCTTTGTTGTAAGGTTATAGTAACAGAAGCTTGCAAATCTCAAAGTACCTCTCTCCTTTCTTATTTTTCTCCCCAAAAGGAGGGAGGATACCTTCTGAAATGTCTTCTCCATCCCCACCTCTCCTTCGAACTCAGATATTGTTTAACAGTGTTGTCTAAACAGTGTTTCTTTCTCCTGTCTCCTAAGGCAGGGGTCCCCAACCACCGGTCCATGGACCGGTACCGGTCCGTGGAACAAGTCCTACCGGGCCGCTGGCTTGCTGGGCGCCGCCATCTTGTTTTGATGAAAAAGTGCTTCCGGTGAGCTTTCTACCCGGAAAAGCTCACCGGAAGCACTTTTTCATCAAAACAAGATGGCGGCGCCCAGCTGATGTCGGTACCGGGCCGCGCCATAAAAAAGGTTGGGGATACCGGGCCGCGGCGTAAAAAAGGTTGGGGATCACTGTCCTAAGGTCATTCTCACATGCCATTACATCCAGGGATTTAAAAAAAAAACACCAATCCACATAAATTGCTTAGCTGTGTGAACCGATTTGGGAAGGGTTTCCTTTTACAGTTTTGGACAACTAAGTTTATAGAAAGTGCTTGATATCCTGCCAGGCTGTTCAACTGTGTAGCTCGGTATTATCAACAATAATTTTGAGTCCTGAGATATTATTAGATCATAACTCCACCAGTTTCAGGTACCATAGCTATTTGTAAAAAAAATATGATGTGGTTATGAATCCCTCAACTGGGAAAAAGCATTATCTAGTCTCCAGCAGAAACAATTCACACCATCGCCCATCTAATCTATTTTATTTAATAAACGAAGCTAACATCTATAGTATCCTGCTTTTAAAAAACGTGTGGTCTTTTGTGGAAACTGAAAATATTGATAAACAAGATTTATTTAATACTTGCAAAGACTGAATCCAAACAATTCATTTACATTTGCTTGCTAAATTGAACAATGTACTGGGCTGGACACATGGTAGCACAGCTGGATCTGTAGGTTGAAATGTTGGAGGATTTAACACTTTTCTTCTAGTGATATTCTGAGTCTGTAAATCCTGCCCCCACCTGCTTTGATAAGCAAATCAGAACGTCCCAAAGCAGTGGTGGGATTCAAATAATCTAACAAATGGTACTCTGCCCTAATGGCCGGCTGGGTGGGTGCGGCCATGATGGGTATGGCCAGGAGGTGTGATAGGCAGCAGTCGGCCTCCTGCACCCCACTAGGAGCAAAAACGGGCCACGGGAGGGGGCTGCACCTCCCTGCACCCCATTTTGGGCCTAGTAGGCCTCCCTGCAACCTCCTGGGAGCCAAACAGGCTATGGGAGGGGGCACCCCGCAACCTCCTGCACCCTGTTTTGGGCCCTGTAAGCCTCCCTGAACTTACCTGAGAGCCAAAATGGGGCAAGTGGGGACTCCTGGAAGGGGCGGGGTGGGGCAGCAAGAAGTGGTATTTGCCGGTTCTCCGAATAAGTCAAAATTTTAGCTACCAGTACGCCAGAACCGTTCCAAACCGGCAGAATACTACCTCTGTCCCAAATGTGCTTTTTCAAAAGGCAACTGGGCTTTCTGGTTTTTCTTTAAAGACATTTCGCTTCTCATCTAAGAAGCTTCTTCAGAAGCCTCTGACTGGATGGTGGGGAATGGAAGGACTTGGACAGAGAGGAACGCAGCTTTGAAAGAGGGGTCAAGGAGGCCATCTATGTCAAAATTGAACAGCCTTCTCTTAACAGAAGGGGAGGGATACGACATCATCTATCTCCAATCTACAACATAGTCCCTTCAACAGTTCTAAGAAGGCTCCACACCCATTTATACCACTCAGGTGACCCTGATAAACCTCCAGGTGACCTTAACGACCTGCTAAAAGAATGCAAATGACCAGCTGTCTGCAAGGAGTATAAATCCCTCCATTCCCCCACCATCCAGTCAGACCTGAAGAAGCTTCTTAGATGAGAAGCGAAATGTCTTCAAAGAAAAACCAAAAAGTTCAGTTGCCTCCTGAAAAAGCACCTTTGGGACAACCATGATCTGATGATATGAGACAAGCAAATCAGAAGTTCTTGCCACTATTATCTATCTTCTACTGGCCTTATATCTCCTGCCCTAAAATCTTATAGAGTTGGAAGACCTTGGAAATCTTCTAGCCCAACTCTCTGCTCAAGCAGGAAACCCTATACCATTTGAGACAAATGGTGGTCTAATACAGGTAGTCCTTATTTAATGAGCAAATTGATTAGCAACTATTTGCAGCCGTGATGGCAATGTAATTTTACAGCTGGTCCTCCCATTTGTGATCTTCACAAATCTGTAAAGAATAGGAAAGCTGAAGTAATCATGTTAATAATAATACTTTTTTCCATATTTTTTTTTGGTCAAATGCGAGGCTGTTTCTCTCACATACAGGTAGTTCTCATTTAGCAACCACAGTTAAGACCGACTAAGTGAAAGTGCAACACTGAGATTGAAGCTAGAAAAATCAAGCTTTCTCTTCTTTGTCGGGGAAGATAGACAATCTCAAAATGAATCAGGTTTACTTTAAAAAGGGAGAGAATGTCAGCATTGCCTTTTAACCTGGAGTACTCACTCACAAAGCATTCAGTGGTGAAGAAAATCAAAATAGAGAATGACTGTATTTGTTCAGACATAAAAGCTATTAAACCTTGTCTATTTCAACAGGCCTTTGAGGGAAAATGATCTAAGTGGAAAAACATATAGGGCACATCTCCTTGACATAAGAATATTTTATTACTTATATTATTTATTCTTATCATTTGTTATTTTGACCTTGTTTACACATGATTGGAATGTAAGCCTGTCACAATCAGAGAATGATTGGACGCAGGATGTAAGCCAAGTGGCATGAATAAATAAAACTGATGAAAAAAAGTCCAAGTTGCATAAAAACACATAGTGGTTGAGCTTGTACAGAGACAGTAGAAACAATACCAGAAACAGTACCAGAAACAATAAATTAGATTTAAATAAACCAAACCCCGCTCCACAAACTTAAAACACAGTTGAGAATGGGTGATTTTGAAGAGGTATTACCTCTGTGTCCCTTTGTGACAGCACCTGAAAAGTCTTTTTTCCTACATATTCCAGTTTTACTCAGGTTGATTTTGAATTGTCTTTCTCCCACGCCTCCATTTCAGCTCACAGCTTCTGCTTTGTCTTTTTCTTGTTAGAACATTGTTTACCATTTCCAAAATAACCAAAGCTTTTCCACGTGGCCAGGGAGAAATTATGAGGGGATTATTTGGCTATGCGGTACACTGGCCAGCTCTTCTTAGGAAGGTTCTTCTTGAAACGTGTGTGATGTGTATTTCTTTGGCTGGGGAGTGACTGTCAGTCCTGTAAACACCAAGGGATATCACAACAGCCTAATACATTGAACCATAACACTAAGCTACAAAAAACAAAACAAGGTTAACATTTACTGAACTTCACCTAGATACAAATGCAAGTTAGCAGGGTATGAATGTGTCATATCATCAGTTTATATGCCAAAGGGCAACCTCTCCTATAAACGGCCTCTGATTCTCCATTGAGACATTGGTATAAAACAGTAAGGTGAATGTTTCCATTCTTTCCAATTTATACTTTCTTTTTTTCCTCTACATAGCTAATGTTTGGATACCTTCACCACCCATTTTCACCTGAATAGTCAACCAAGAGCTCTTCCAAGTGACTCTGTTTTCCAAAACCCACTGCATGGAAGGGATGGAGAAGTTAATGTGGCTGCCAGTCCTGAATTCTGGATACATTGAGAAAAATGTCCTTTGTTGATGCCTGGAAACATCTGGACTTCACTTCTTCATATCCACTTCAACAGAACCCTTAACAGTAGCACCAAATTTCAGGATTGAAGTTGCCTCTAGTTCCACCCATAACTGAGCAGATCAGATTTTTGGATGGAAATGCCTTTGCTTCAAGGCCAAGACTTCGAAGCTCTAATCAGCGCTCTGGAAAAACCCATCTCTGCCTCCTCCAAATGTCACTAGATATGGGCGACATGACAGAAGGAAGCTTGTGGGGGTTTCGTCTTTTAGGTTGCTGCTGAATCTAGATTGAAAATTAATCTGGAAAGGGGGAATTGATGTCAGACAAGGATAGGAAACCAGGGCACTGGAGCTGTAATCCTCCAAAAGGTATATAATGCAATTGCACCAAACCTGTGTGGCAACCAATATATCCCTGCCACAGCTACCAGGAGCAGTCCGTCAGCAAAAAGCTGTAATGTGTGTAATTTTCCTGTAAACTAACAGAATATTGTGGGCAATGTATCTTTAATCTTCTAGCCCAGGGCAGGAGGAAGCTCCATGTTAAAGTCACCTGGGTCAGAGTTGAAGGGAGATAGTGGGCCTTGGTTTGTCTGAGCTTCTTGAGTTAGTTGTCTACCATTTCACTCCTGGAATTCATTTCACTGGTCACTTTCCTTCATCTTCTTTCCTGATGGAAACTGTTTCCACCTTTTGCATTCATAGAATCAAAAAGGGCTGGAAGGGGCCCTGGAAGTTTTCTAATCCTACTGAAGTGCAGGAGACCTTGTCCTATCCCAGGCAAATGGCTGTCCAATCTTTTCTTGAAAACCTCCAGCAATTGAGCACCCACAACTCCAGGAGGCAAGCTGTTTTTTTACTTTGATACACCAACGCCACCACAGTGTGGATTAGTGTGGTAACCTGGTCTGTTTGTTGCTTAGGAGAAAGTGCAGATCAGGCTTCAATGGCTCGTTCAACAGACAAGAACAAATACCAACTGAATATTATTCACAAACCCATTCTATGCCGATCTTTGAGTGGCAGCAAAAATGATAGCATTTTTGGCATGAAATCACATTTGCTGAAGATCACTGTACAATCATTCCTCAAACCATCAAGAGGTGGAAACAGTAGGACTTGGGGGGAAGAAACATCACTGATGTCAACCAGTTTCTATAAAGTTGAGCCAGAGTCTGCCAAAAGTGGTGGCACAGTGGTTAGAATGGAGTATTGCAGGCTAACTCTGCATTCCCACAGCCAGGAGGTCGATTCTGACCGGCTCAAGGTTGACTCAGCCTTCCATCCTTCTGAGGTCAATAAAACGAGGGCCCAGATTGTTGGGGGCAATATGCTGACTCTGTAAACCGCTTAGAGAGGGCTGGAAACCCTAACCCTAAGTGCTATTGCTATTGTTATCTGAAGTATTCTACCTTTGTTTGCCTTTTTAAATTTTAAAATGAATTAATGCATTTTTTTGTTCCTCTATTGAATAATGCATGAATAAGAGGACTGCACCACTATCACATAGTTAATATTGGATTTTTATTTTATCTATAACAGAATGATTTTTAATTTGTGCTTGACTGTAAATGTACGCGGGTCTTTCATGGCACTGGACTGAATGTAAAACCAAGAGCAAATCAAAAGCCTGACCGCTATGGCATCTTCTTGCAGATGTTGGGTTGGGATTTTCAATTAAATAATCATTGAAAGTGTAACTCTGGAGTTGATCCTTGTACAGCATTTAAATGATTTGCCCCCCCCATACTCCCAGATATCAACAGTGCAGGACATACAATCCTTGATGTAAGCCATCAAGAGGCTCTAGGCTGTGCACCGTAAAAATGTGGACAATCAATCAATCTGCAATATAGGAGGTCAGATATCCAAAACACTGATTAGAAATGCTACCATCTTTGGAGTGCTCCGGCTTTTCTAATAGCAACACAATACGGGTAGTCCTTGAACTTGCAACCGTTCGTTTAGTGAAAAAAGTGACTGGCAATCAGTCCTTGCACCTACGTTGCAGCGTCGCCACAGTCACATGATCAACGTTTGGGGACTTGGCCAGCACTTAGGATGTTTGCGGGTGTCCTGGGATCACATGGTTGCCATCTGTGATTTTCCTAGCTTGCTTCCAACAAGCCAAGTCAATGGGGGAAGCCCGGTTTCCTTAACAGCTGGGCGATTTGCTTAAGAATCACTGCAAAAAGATCATAAACTTTGCTTAGTGCAGAAGTTCCAGTCCCAATTGTGGTCATTATGTCGAGGACTACTGATAGTAAACATGGGAATCGGGACTAGGCTACAAAAATGGGGCTGGAAAAGGAGAATAGTCCTTTCTCTGATTGTGAAAACACTGTTTTTCCTTCATCACCACCTCTGGTATTTCTAGCAGCAGGTACCAAAACGTTTTCCCCAATTCCTTTAGAAAAGCCACAGGTGTCCAACCTGATGCTGTTACTAAACACACTGGAGTTCTTCTAGAAAGCCGATAAATCACTTTTAACAGTTTAACTGCTAAAACTGGGGGGATGAAGAAATAAATAAAATAGGTGTTCATTCTACAGAGCTATGTAAATATAGAATTGTTTCAATTCATTTGTAATTCTGCAGTTGAGCCAAGCCAGAATGTGTTTGGTGTGACTGTGGCTTAAAGCCATGAACCTAGTCATTTGTGTCATATTTAAGAAATCTTCATTAAAAGAGAATATGGCTTAATACAATGTGTGAAGCCAATCAATATATTTGATTTGATTTGCCATCGCCATCTTGACATGTAAACAATACGGGGGTTGGGTTAACCTAGACCAGGTTATCTGTGGCTCTGGAGCTGCATGTGGCTCTTCCATCCCTCAGCTACAGCTCCCTATCACTCAAAATATGCATCACACCTGCCAATGTGTGACACCCTTCGGCATGCGATTTATTGAGCTTTTTGACCCCCGGTAGGCCAACAATGGATAAATCCAAGAAAAGAAAAGTTTCAGAAGAAAACAGAATCTTTTCAACTATATATGCTAGTTTTGTGGCCGCTCAGAAAATAGTCAGACATGGGAAAGGTATTGTGGCTCCCTGTGTTTTCTTTTCTGTGGGAAATATGTCCAAATGGAGTGTTTAAGGTTGCCAACCCCTGACCTAGACTTAAAGGAAACTGCTTAGAGACCCACTGCTTAACCAGCTGGATTTATGCAATCATTTACGGAGGGGCTGGTCCGCAGAAGCAAATGCCTGCTATTTATGGGAGTTGTGATCTGCTAAATATGGGAAAGCACAGCAGATAGTGGCAGCACTTAATCAACCTTGGCTAACCCCAGAAAGATCAGCAGGGTCAGGCCAGGTTAATACTGGGATGGGAGACCACTAGAAACCCCAGGGCTAGAGGCTAAACCGAGAAGGAAAACCACATTCAGGAAGAAAGCAACAACTACAAAAAAAAAAAAACCCTTCCTTCCAATCACATGCCAAGACAAACGACATGAATGCACCCATAGAGTCAACAGATGAGCTCAACTTCAGGAAGCCTTGACCTTAGATCACTTTCAAGTGCAGGAAAACAAGTAGAAAACCTCCTGAAACAAATTCACCTTCTCCTCCAACTACGATGCATTGCTAAAAGGCCCTTCAGGCAAAGCCTAGCTTCAGGTACATCCCAGAAGTTGGGGCCTGTTCAAATACCTATTTAATTGTTCCTACATGAGCATGGTCTCTCTGCCTCAGCATGCGGGAATGATATATTTTAAGGCAGATGACAACCCAATTACTGTAGCACAGCCAGTTTCCATCTGATGTTGGCATGGAAGCTGCTTGGAGAACGCAAAGGCGTGCAAAACACTGAAGATTTCTCTTGCAACGACCGCTACTGCTTTTCCTCCCATTTCAAGGGAGCGCTCTTGTCATTTTAAACATCAGCTCCGTTTCTAGAATATTATAGGTAGTCCTCAAGTTATGACTGAGCCTACCTATCCCAGTTGTAAAGTCCTGACACAGTCAAAAATCAGGGACACCCATCAGATCGATCCGATTTTACAACTTTTGTGGTGGCCGTTAAGTGGTTGAACGAACCAACGATTCTCCATGGGCTGGTTTTGCCAAAAACTGGAAGTAAATTTCATTAAAAAAAACTACCCATCATAAAACATGGTCACATAACCGTGGGGTCCTGCAAACGGCTGTACACACAGCCAGGTTGCTGAGCATCCAGAGTGCAGTCCTGTGACCATGGTTGCAAGAACCCCTAACGAAGTCTGTCACTAAGTGACAGGTCGTAAGTTGAGGACTATCTGTACTAGTGTATTCGGGAGGCAGGAATCTGGATAAGCAGCAGATGGCAGCAGGGAAACAGAAAGGCTGGGGTTTTGTTGGTTGGTTATGATTAGCCTCATCTAGAAATCCCATGGATGAAAGTGGTATATTCTTATATTACCTAGGCAGGTAAAAACTTCAGCGGTAGTTTTTGTAGCTGTTAAAAGTACCTTTTTATTATGAAAAGCTAGGAAGATAAAAGGGATTCACCCGGAGCTTAGCAGAGCACCCTATCGAGGAAATGGAAGGAACAACAGGAAAAAAGAAGTGGGGAGAAGACTGCTAAACCTTTTGAAGTCTCACAGGAAAAGTGTTCCTCCCAGTTTTTAATTATTTCTTTTTTTAATCTTTGTCCTATATCTGGAAGCCACAAACAAAAGCAAACTAGAGTTGTGCGCCTGCAGCTGCTCAAAAGGAAGATTCGAAATAGGGCATTTTAAATGGTTCTCCCCACACCAATAATTCTCCTGTACTGAGTGGTCATTCATCTTGGTTCTAGAATTTGAGCAAACTCAGGAGCCTCATCATTTATCATTTTAACTTAAGCCAAGGATTTGTGAGATAAGAGAAATGGGAGGGATCAGCTGGTAAATGTCTGCAGGTTCAGCTTAAAAGTCATAGGAACAGGCCTGGTTTAAATAGAAAGAGGCGACCCATAGCACCAGCTTTGAAAGATGCCTAAGCAGTGAAGAGAAACCGACGGACAGCCTAGAATCCTACTTTTCTCACACAATTTGGAGACCTTTTGCCAATGGCTGATCTCTACCTAGCTGGATATATCCAGGCTTTCATTGGAAGCCAAATCTTTTCTATGTGTGTCCCAAAGTTTGTATTTTTATTTAGTGGGATTTACCCCTTACAATGTAGTTTTAAGCTTGTGCGTGGCCTATGTGAGTTGCTAATGTGAGAAACGAAATGGCAGGCAAGGCTTTGTAATTTTGATCTTGAGTAATGATGTGATTCATTGCAATTGGCTCCCTTGCCACTGCCTGATGATCTGGCAGAAGACAGGCTGGGTAAGCATCGAGATATTTGCATTCTCTGCAGCATTTTGAGTTAAATGTCCTTGTCCTGCTTTCTTAAATGCCATATGTAAACAGCAGCTGACATCCATCTGCTGTTATGATCATGCTCCCCTGCGAAGGGAAGAAACACCAGAAAAAGGGAAAAAAAGCACAATCTGCCAGTTAAAACTGAGCAGTTTCATGGCATGATCACTGCTGAATCTACAATATACTTTGTTCAAAACAGAGCCATATATGGTGACTGCATAGCTCTTGTTTTTTGACATGACTAATCGCAGAGTTAGGCAAGTCAAACATTGTAGAATCAATTATGCAAAACAGACCTTTGTGCTTGAGGTGGAATTTATATTACTTTCAGATTCTAAAAGTGCAAAATGCACACCGAACTGCTTATAAGCAGTACCAGATCCAAAACGGGGGAGGTCAACAATAAGGTTGCCCCTAGACCCATGATGGCCAATCTATGGCACGTGTGCCACAGGTGGCACTCAGAGCCATTTGTGCCGGCACACGAACCGCAGGCAAACCTACCTCACTGTGCATGTGCGCGTCTCACAACTGATTTTTTGGCTGGTTTGAGACCTTTTTCGGCCTCCCAGAGGCTTGGAAAAAGCCTCTGCAAGGCTTTTCAGGACAAATAGGCCCGTTTTGTCACTGTAATACCGGAAGTGATGAAACGGGCATATTATTCGTCCTGAAAAGCCTTGCAGAGGCTTTTTCCAAGCCTCTGGGAGGCCGAAAAAGGCCTCAAACCAGCTGAAAAATCAGCTGTGAGGCACAGTGCAGGTAAGGGGGTGGTGGTAGGGTGGCGGGGTCAATTTTCACGCGCATGCGCAGGGGGGCACCCATTGCATTCTGGGTGCTGGCATGCAAGTGCACATGCGCTAACACGCGCACAATTTTTGGCACAGGAGCCCAAAAAGGTTACCCATCACTGCCCTAGACACTGAAATACCTGCCACATTATAAAAACAGCACAACAAACATTATCCAGCCCAACTTTCTTAGAAAACACATTAAGGTGTTTAAGGTTTCAAGCAGGATATGTGGTCTCCAATAATTAAATTTTCAAGACTCTGCTCCTTCTGACCCCAGAGGCGATATAAAGCTATCTTAACTAATTCTAGAGAGGCCGACACAAGGTATTAAGCAACACTGTGTCTTCTCTGATTTTGGCTTGGGCTGTGAAGGAACCAAGAAGCTAGGAACTACTCAATAAACTCATGTTTAACACATTCATCCCAGCAATTTTTAGCTTTACTCTCCACATGCTTGTGAACTTAGAATTATGCTTATTTGGTGACCATGCTCCCCCTTTTGGTCTATAAAAATAATATATATCTTTTTCATATTTGTGCTGGAGGTTTTGGTTTGGGAGTTCTGTACATACAAAATTCGTGGCCTGCAAGTGAACTACATGTTTTTCCTAATGCCTTGTGGGATGGTGAAAGTAAACTAACTTTCCTGGCTGAAATGCACAAACACTTAAAACAGGAGCACCTGCAATACTGCTAGGACAGGGTAAGGCAAGAACCTTCCACTGGATTGCTGGTGACTTCTCAGAAACACAGGGAACTTGTAATCTTTCATACTGTGGGGACCAGGTGCTGCTGAGAATCAGACTGCCCACCCTTAACTTAGGAAAAGGCTTAAAACCTTAGTTCAAGATAAAGCATTATATTCAGAGGGACATCCATTGAAAAACTTTGTATCTTATTCATTGAACAGACATTTTATTCTTCAGTATACTTATATTCTGCTTCTCCATGAAGCTCAAGGCAGCTTTTCCCACAGTTCCAAATATCCCAAATGAACACAAATCGGGCATGTCAACCAGCAAAATCCATACAATTTAAGTATTCAAACCATTAACTTTGGCACAGGCTTCCTCAGGATGCAAGAACAAGACAGTCTGGCATAGTTTTTCAAAACAGGGTGTCTTCCCAGCGTTAGGACTACCAACAAGCAGCAGTTCCCAGCAATGGGGAGAGTTGTAGCAAAATCATCAAAACCATTAAACTATTTTTATCCAAGTAGCTAGTGACTTTGGTTGGCCATTCATGGTAATGTACTAAATAGATCAGAGCTATTTCAGGAATGTCTTAAAACAGGAAAAAAAAAATCCTAACTCTCGGGGTTTCAAGCAAAATCTTAATTGTTGAAATTGAAAGGGTAAGAAGGCTTACAAGTTGAGAGGGTGAAAAACTTCTTCTTTTGAGTTTCTGGTCTCCTAATGTCAATGCTTACCAATTTTCTATAATACTATGCCTGTAATTTCTATTAAACTTTTTAATGTTAAAGTCACCATCCTCAGATAAATACGTTGGGCAGCTCATTTACCTGTCAGGCATGGCTTTTATTGAATGAAGTAGAATTGCTGTATGAAAAATTGATACAAATATGTCATATGCAAAGTTTGACACTCTGTAGTGCACCACATTGAGATGGTGGTGATGTTTAAATTCAGCGCCACGTTTCTTAGGCTACTGCGGGGATCCAGGAAGCCAGTTCAAATGTATGAATCTATGCTATAAACCTTAATGCTTTTAAAAAATATGAACATTCTATTTTCCAACAAGGCCAACAAGAAACTGTCTAAATGACCTCCCAGTCAATTTGCCCAATTTTGTGCTTTCCTGTAAATATATTTTATAGCATTTTATACAGCAATTCTTGTGTTTGCTGGGCCAGTCCACTGAACTCTCCCATCCAATGTCCTGTTTTGCAACATGTTTGCTATGAAATATGCCAGTCACGGAGGCACAATCTATTTTCTCAGCTGATTGTGAGCAAACATATATCTTACTTCTCTGGTGAAAGCAAAAGACAGTAATACTATAGAAGCTTATATAACCTGCCCAGATTTGTACATCTGTACAGTTTGTATTGTGGGGGTGAGGGGAAGCAAAGAGCACATAATGAAGTCCATAAGCTCAACCAACTACAATATTTATCCAATTGTGCCATGCAACTTGCCTAAAAATAGTAGCTAACTATGAGTTTTATCACAAAATGCCAGGAGGTCCAGCCTTCTTCTGTTATTTTGTAAACCAAATTTTATCTAGTGAGAACACAAAATACAAGAGGCTTTCTCTGAAACCCAAACTTTCCTGCACAGACTTCTCCCTAAGCCAAGAACCCACTTCGGCAAATGAGTGATACAAGAATTAAGGGGGTTAAACCTCACTAAGGGGCGAGATTGGTTTCTTATTTTAAAGGTTTCTACCGAGAACATTCATGCACCTTCAGCTTTAATCTCTGAAAAAAGTAGTTCATCATGGCTGATGAGAAACATACCTGCTGTAAGGCTGACTAAACTGAGCTTACCTGTCAAAAAGGTTATACACTGCTGTGAGCATTTCTTGTGGAATGTGATTTTTTTTAATCAGCAGGGTGCTAAAATAAGCACACGGAGGAAAGAGAAAGATTTTGAGAATGTACAATTCTCCCACATCAAACCACGGGTAGCCAGGATAATCAAATGTTCATGCAACGGAAGGTCCCATTCCTTAGGCTCCAGCGGAATCCCGTGGTTTCAGGAAAGGTCGTATATAATATGCCCAAGCAATGGAATATACGGGGATTGTGCAAGGGGACCATGGGATTGGTTTTCAGACTGGGCCCAACTTCCTGGGGTTTTTTTTTTTTTTTTTTTGAGTCCATACATCAGCCTGTGCATACAACGTTCATCTCTTTTACATCTTTCTAGTTTACATTTTCAAGTTCCTCTCAACCCCAAATCAGTAAGACCCACGAGGTTTCCAACCATTTCCCATGTCTTTTGCACCCTCTCCATACCTTTCATTCCCACTACTAAGAATTCTTACAGATGTTTATGTAAGAAAAATTAAAAAAAAACATGGGGGGGGGGGAAAGGAAGTGTCCTTTTAAGTAGATACCTGAAGATAAATGGAGACTGTCGTGCTATCACTGATGAGGTGGAATCAACACCTACCCTTTTCCAGGAACTAGGAGCCTAAGAGAGTGGAGGGACCTAATGACTGCATCTTTATAAGGCAGCTTTATGTCAGAGTGAGTTTGCACTGAGTGAGTCTGCAAGGGGGAGGCAGTGGAGCCGATAGTGAAAGCGATGCAGGCTCAGTGCAAAAGAAGAATGCAAGCACGGATTAACCGAGTGGACTGTAGGTTTCTTACACAGAGCTAAAAAAGACCAATGGGAAAGGAGCCTGCAATAAAGGAAGAAACCGGAGATAGTGAGGAAGACAAGGGGAAGGAGGAAAGATCTTGGTCGAAGCTCTATCACTGCTCTTCTCAAAGCAGACCCAATCCCCGTCATATTCATCACCGATAACAAATATTTAATTAAGTTGCAGTGGGGGGGAAAAAAATCAGCCACAGTACCCAAGAAGGTACTGTCAATACATTCCTCGTTGGGCAGGGTGAGGATGGGTGGCACCAGACAGACTCACCAGCCACGGATGGATAGAGACAACAGTAGCAGCACTGACACAAGACAGGCGTGGAGCTGGGTGTGAGTGACCCTCCCTCCCCCTTACCCACGGGGTCAAGGCAGCACCAGCACAAGACAGCTGAGAACTGGATGTATAGGCCTTCCCTTCTTTTCATCCCTCGCCTCAGTTGGGGCGGTGTCAGTCCTTTTTTGGGGGAGAGTTGAGGAGCTCCTTCTCTGCCCCATGGCCAAGTATGGTTCAGTGCTGCATGGCCCCTGCATGGTTTTGGTCAGGTAGCTCCACCTTCTTGGAGTTGTTCTCCTTTGGACCAGGATCTCCCGCTTTAGACTGTGCCTTCCCCCGCTGGCCTTTCTTGTGGCCTCGGATGCAATGGGCATTGCCGCAGCCTTCATCGTCCTCATCTTCGCTCTCTGTTGAGCTCTCATCAAAAGCCCGGGGCTTCTCGTAGATGCAGCAGCCTGTGTTGAGAAAAGGGAAGAAGTGGAGAGGAATGGCAAAGAAGGGAAGGTAAAAAGGACTCAAGAGGCAACAGAGGACATTAAAAAGGTGGAACACATACAAAAAAAGAACAAAGCAAGAATAAAGAGACATTGTGAATGCGGAGGAAAGTGAGCATTGATACAGCATGGGACAGTGTTTAATAAAATGCAAAATCAGTGGAAATATACAAAGCGGAAATATTGGATGCATGAAGATAAGGAATTGAAGGAAATGGCAGATAGTGAAGAAGAAAGAACAGAAGGAAGGAGAGGAAGAAAACACAAGAGAGATAAGCACAGAAATATAATAATTCAACAGCAATTGCATCAATGGAAGAGGAGACAAAGGAATAGTCACGTTTTATCTACCAACAATTCTCACTTTTGGAAAATGAAAGGACTATGCAGACTTTCTTCAAACTCAGAACATTTCTCTCTATCCCATATGAATCTATAGGGATCAGCATAGTCAGGAGCAAATAATTCATTTTTCTGACACATGTTGGTGCCAGGATGGAAAAGATACAGCAATCTCTTCGCCTCTTTAGACCCAACTCACCAAGGAAAAGTAGAGACTCTGTCTACATGATGTTTGAATTATGTAGTAATTATTCTTGTTGCTCATTTATTTGGCCAGGGAACAGCAGGGAGAAATTAGAAATAGGACAAATAGCACCTCTCCAGTTAATTAAGTTATTGTTATAGCAATATCTCTATCCTCCTGTGATCATCTCAAGATGCCTTCTCATCAAATTTCCAGTAAGTACTGCTAAGTACCTATGGTTAATTGAGGCAATTAGTATCCCCTCCAGGCTACAATGTCATAAGCAACCTGGTGTCCTCAAAGCTTATCATTCCCAACTGAAGTTTAAGATTATATTCTCAACATTATCAAGAAGCAACCATGGAACATGTCAATTATAGCAAGTGGCTTCCCAGTACAGGACAAGTGGAGTATGTATGGGCCAGGATACATGATGATACAGGACTCCACCTGTTTTTCCAGGAATTATTCCTCTATTTCCACTAGTTTGTCCATACGCTGTGGAATTTGATCTCATTACCTATGCTTACATTCTGATATTATATGCTAGAAGGTGACCAGTCTACAGAAGGGTAACCCTAAAGCTAACAATCTAGATGAATGCATCCCTGGAGAAAGGGATGGATTAAGAAAATGTAAAAAAATGAGTTAGCCTCAGTTAGTGCACCCTGGATGCTGCACTCACATTGGGAGAAATACAACTGAGGAGGAAGAATTTTAAGAAACAATGGTAGAGAATGGCAGTGCTCACATTTGGAAGATCTCCGTCCCAAGTGCTCGTTGTCCACTGTGTCACTTGACCATTCCACCTTCTTGGATGGCTTTCGTTTTCTTAATTTGATAGTGAGACTACGATTTTCCTGGGAAGACGACAGAAGAGAAGAGGGTTTGATGTACATATAATCAAAGAATTTCTCATTCAATATACAACAGCTTGGTTTTCCATTCTGCGGAATACTTTCTACATAGCTGTACCTGAGGGGAAAAACCTCTTTAGTTTTGCCAATAAAGACAACTGCAGACAGTTCTGAGGGCAACCTCAAAGTTTAATTGCTGCCACTTTTATGATCAAACCCTACCTATACCACAATATCTTATGCCATTAACTTGCATAAGAGCCAAAAGAAATAGCCTTTCATTATACATTGAAACATTAGATTTTATATTTTAATAGGTTCTGGGGCAGAGATATGAGCTGTCTACTGTAGAGAACCCAAGCTTAATTGAATTCTATATAAGAGTTCTCAGGTTTTATGAAGAATACTAATAGAAGAACATTTAAATGGGCAGCATTGCTACAACACAATGTGGTACTTTAATATTATATCCAGTATCACATCAGGGCATTTAGCACAACATTTCTTCTTAACACAAAATACTATATCTTAATATAGAAAAAAATTTAAATGATATAAATGCTTGATATGATACATCTACTCATCAATAATCTACAAAAACATCCACAATTTTGAAAAAGTGCACAGCTTTCATTTGAGTTCCATAGGCAGTCCTTAGCAACCATAATGGAACCTGCCCATCATGGCCATAAGTTGTGAGTTGACTTGTCACATAATTCTATCATGACCAACTTGATTTTACAATAATTTTTGCCCGTCATTAAGCAAACCAATGGTTCACTATGGGCACAATTAAAAAAAAAAAAAGGAAATGCTGGTTTTCAGCAAAACCAAAGTCACGTAATAACCATAAATAAGCCCAAGATAGGTCTGTTGTAACATGGTCAATAAGCAACCGGTTGTAAGTCGAGGACCATCTGTAATTGAAAAAATACTGTAGGTGGCCTAGGTGATCCTGAGCCAAATTCTCTCAGCCTCTCGCAATATCCAAGGTAGAAGTAAACAAATAATGACTTTGAAGGCAGTTTTTGTATATCTATATCTCCATGTGTCTGTATGTGTGTCTCTCTCTGTGTGTGTGTGTATGTATGTATGTTATTCAGCTTTGTTCGGGTATTTTCCCATGTCATTATAGTTGTGCTTTTAAAGTTGTAGCAACATTTTGGCAGAATCTCATCTGCCATCATCAGGCTTCTGTATTGTGTTTGTCTGCATAGTGTATTGTCATTTCGCTTCTCATCCAAGAAGCTTCTTCAGCTCTGATAGGATAGTGGGGAAATAGAAGGATTTATATCCCTTGCAGACAGCTGGTCATTTGCATCTGTTTAGAGGGTCATCGAGGCCACTTGGAGGTTTAAATGTGTGTAGTCAGGGTTAACTGAGTAGTGCTCCTGGTTCCTGTAGTCTGCACTTTTTCCTCTGGAAATCCATTCCGAGTCCCACACCATTCAAAGGGTGTTCATCCCAAATTGTATAGCTAAAAGTCTGCAGAGATTCTCTGTTTGTATCTGTATTCTAAAAGTCTGTTAGAGACCCTGAGGACACAGATAAACCTCCCAAGTGCTTCAAGGACCCTCTATAAAAGGATGCAAATGACCAGCTGTCTGCAAGGGATATAAATCCTTTTCCCACCGTCCAGTCAGAGCTGAAGAAGCTTCTTGGATGGAAAGTGAAACGTCTTCAAAGAAAAATCAGAAAGTCCAGTTGCCTCTTGAAAAAAAACAAAAAAAAGCACCTTTTGGAAGTTGTACAGACTTATTTGCTAGCGCTAATTCATATTCCGAGACAGAAGCCGCTATTTCCAAATCTCCTCCGGGTTTTTTTTTAGGCAAACCCAATTAAAAGATTCAATGGGCTCCGTTCCCATTGATCCTGTTAGCGAGGCCTTCCCACCCTCGGAGGCTTTCTGCCACCCAGATGCTCTTCAGGGACCCAAGACCTTCAGGCTACCTGACAAAAGACCTGCCCTCCGCTACTTAAAGCCATTGGCCGTCCAAGTGATCCCAAGCTTTCCCTTCCATCACAGGCCTTCTCGCCGCCACCGAAGGCCCCCCCGCACCACCATCACCCCGCTTGGTGGTTGCCACGACAACCGCAGGCGCCGAGGCTCCGCGGGCGGGGCTCCTCCCTCTCCTCCA